AAATAATTCAGTTTTTTTATGCTACAGTTGTATAAAATTTTCTGTTCAAATGCTCCTCCCACATTATTTTATTAAGGGGAAAGAAGTCATAACTAATCTGCGTAAATTATCTAACAGACTTCTAAAATATGATTCAGCTTTCGTACTTTCGAGACGGCTTCTCGCCGTTAAAAAGCATACCGGGGATTCTAGGTGTAGTTCGAGGCAGTCTGAGCCGTATCGAACCACCCCCAAGTCCCGCCCTCCAACGCCAAGGCGCATGCTGTACCCGGCTCGCTCCCTCCGCCACTCCGAAGCACGCTTTTGACTTACGAATATGCTTAAGTCCCCGGTCGGACTCTTGTCACGGCTTTTTCACTCCGTCCCTCAGGGAGAGAGGGGAGCAAAGTTTTTCTAAACTGGAACTGATATTTAAAATCTGAACATTCAAACGGCGAAGGCTTGAGCGACTTTCTCCCCGGTGAAATGGCGATTGTAATAATATTCTGTCTGAAACAGGATCTGAATTTACATCGCAGTTTTGGTCTATCTGACGCGATTTTTCGTATTACCATCTTGATTTTTTTGCTTGTAAACAGACATGGGCCTAGTAATCATCAGGTTCAGATAGTCGGTAACAAATACAAAACTAAAAAATAGAAGGCCTGCTACAAAATATAGAAAAAAGTCTAAACGCGTCAGGTAGACCAAAACTGCTGGAATAGGCAGACCAAAATCATTGGAAACGACCAAGCTATTTCAAAGTATGTGATTGGTTGAGGAACGAAAGCTTATAGGATTGGGATAAGACTTGATTTGCCAACCTACCCCAGAACTAAGGAAGACAACTTGAAGCAAATATTTTTATTATTTCTGTATAATCTTAAGAAGCTTTTTTGTCTAGAAATTTCGACCGAAGCAACAAATTTTGTGGTAGACCGAAGACGTATGACCACGAAAAGGCTATAAGTTTGCTTATCTTTCCCATTTTTAACTTTTCGAGAAATACGAGCATAGCTTGGAGGAAGTGTGTGGTGATTAGTGACCGTTAACCGATAATTATTCAGAAATCGTGAAATGCGGTATGGTGTGATGTAGGTTCAGAAAAACGTTTTCTTTATCGGGCCAACGTTTTGATCTTTATTGAGATTATCTTCAGAGCCTTCCGTTGTCTGCATGCACCTTGGAGGTTTCAGAAAAACATTTTCTTTATCGGGCCAACGTTTCGATCTTTATTGAGATCATCTTCAGGGCCTTGTATTGTCTGCATTTCAACAAAAAAGTTCTCTGGTTGATAGTTACGAGTTTCTTCTCATTGTTGGCGATGTCCTTCAGAATACTTTTTGCTTCGTGTCCATATGTAGTTGAAATTTGTTCATAGAATCCCATGTTCTTCGTTCTTCTCATGTAGAAATGTGTGGTGATTAGTAACCGTTAATCGATAATTATTCAGAAATCGTGAGATGCGGTCTGGTGTGATGAAGGTTTTAGAGAAACATTTTCTTTATCGTTTCGATCTTTATTGAGATCATCTTCAGGGCCTTCTGTTGTCTGCATGCACCATGGAGCAAGGTTCATTACTTGTGGTCTATAGTCTTTTGGCCTACTTTTGGACCATAGCGACAAATAATGTAGTTGGCTAAACACGAAGTTAAATAACGAAAAGTTATAGTAATTTCCTGTCATAACTTGAACTATTCAGAAACTAGGGCACAGGTTGTCGTAAGTCCCATTACTGGAGAGGCCACCTAAAGGACGATTTCAACCAGAGCATAAAGGTATGTTATCGGTTGACGAAGAATTTGGAAAAAGAAAAGGTATAGGATTTGTTTTTTTCCACCTTAAACTATTCGAATATTCGGGAATCACGAACATAGCCTGAAATAAGTATCGTTACTGTTCCTTTTTAATCTTAAAGAGTGTTTTGTTTTAATTTATTTGTTACCTATACAGAATTGTATACTATACAAATATGTACACATGAATGATAAATCACACAGCACAATACTAGCACTAATGCCAGCACTGCACCGGTAGAACACATGCTTTGAGGAGCCAGCCATTGCTGGCACTCATTATGTATGACTAGGAATCAAGGAGGTCCCGAGGCCATCGTCGGTTGAGGCGACGTGGTGGGTTGTCAGGATGGGAATGAGTGGATAGGGCTCGAGCAGTATGGTTAGGATGGTTCGAAAGTTTGGTATGGAAGGATGGTAAGGGATCTGGACTGGATTAGTTCGTTGGCAAAAGGAATGTTGAGGTCTTTGTGGATAGTGAGGTTAGTGACATAATAAGGTGCTTTGACAATTTGTCTAAGGACTTTCGATTGGAAGGACTGGATGCGCTGGATATTGGAAGGCTTGGCAGTGCCCCACAGTTCTACTCCGTATGTCCATATTGGTCTTAGTAAAGTCTTGTATAGCGTTAGTATTGTCTTAATTGTCAAAGTCGATTTCGGTCTTAAAAGTCTTCGTAGTGTGCACGTCTTGTATTAAGTTGCTGTTTTTTAAGTCTTGTGTGGGGAGTGTTTTGGTTTAAAAAAATAAAGAATTAGGAAAAGAATTAGCATTCTTTGCGAAAAATCGATCACAGCTGTGCATTGACTGTTCCCAGGCATCTTAGGAAAAATTTTGATCCGTAAAATTTGAATGTAGTAACAAAAAATTATGGTAGGTTAAAGAAGAAATTGGACGATAAGTAATTTCATAATTTGGCTGTCTAGCCTATTTCAAACTATTCGAGAAAAACGAGCACAGCTTGAAACTGTGTATTGACTGTTCCCTGGGAAATTGAACAAGATTTTGACCTGGAGATTTCAACCGGAGTAACAGAATGAAGTAGGCCAAAGAAAACAAAAGGTTATAGGATTTAGTCGTCTAGCTCACTTCGAACTATCCAGGAAATAGGAGCCCAGTTTAAAATAAGTACTATTACTGTTAAGGTGGTCTAAAGAAGTATTTTGGCCTTGGGATTTCGGCTGTAGCAAAGAAGGAGAACAACTTGCTGATTTCAAATTATTCTAGAAATGCATGCACAGTTAGGACCAAGGACTGTTTCAGTTTAATCGTAAAAGGTTTTGTGGACTAGGAATTTAACAACAACAAACGTGGTAGGCTATAGATGGTTTCAACGATAGGTTATATGATTTTAATGGCCTGAACTCATTGAACTATTAGCGAAATACGGGCAAATCTTGCATGGGGCACGTGCTATTAGCCCATTACGGTTTTCTGACATCTAAATGAGGATTTTGGTGTGAGGATTTTTACCAGAGCAACAAGGAATGTGGTAGCGCGAAGTAGAAGGGGCTCAATTAAACGTTAGTTAATTGGACTGAGGTTTGCTTTTCCCAAACTACTCTAGAGTCAGGAGGACAGTTTGAGCAAGTAAATTGAATGTTTTAAGCATCTTAAGGAGACGATTCGGCATCACTAAAGAATGTAGTATGCCAAAGAAGAAAATGAACAACGAAAAGACATAGGATTTGGTTGACTATTCAACTACGAAAACAGGTTGAAGCAATTGTATCCCTTTTTCTTCTGACATGGAAGGTCCATTTAAGCTTAGGGATTTTGACTTCAGCTCTAAAAAATTAGGTTAAAGAAGTTCTTAAACGAAATGTTAAACCCTTTAGGAATTATGATCTAAGATTCGAGCAAGTGTACTGACTGTCCCAGTCATTTTAAAGAGTACTTTCGTTTAAGAATTAAAGCGGAGAAATAAAGAATTTTTCTTATGCTACCGCAGAATTGCGGAATTGAATTTGATTGTCTTGGTATGGTATGGTAGAAAGGATACTGGGAAGCGGGGTTTGGATTCCCCAGGCACTGCAGCCTTCTGGCTTATTGTACCTTCCTAGTTCCTTAGTTCAATCAATAGACTGAATCCTTCTTTTTAGAAGTATCAGGTCATTGACTGTTGTTGCTGCAATTTGATTCCCTAAGTCTTTTCCGTACGTTAGGTTAAACCTCCATTGAGCTGTTGCTTCGCATTCGAAGATGATATGAGTGGCTGTTTCCTCCTCCTCATTACATAATCTGCAGATGGGATCATCGCTGTACATACCCATGTTGTGTAGATGTTTTCTCAGATACCAGTGACCGGTTAGTAGTCCCACCACTCCTCTGAGTTTTGCCCTCTCCAATTGCAGCAGTGTTTTTGCCAATCTTGGTGAGGGTTGTTTCATCATGTTTACTGTTTACTGTACCGCTAAAGTTTATCCACTTCTTCTTTTGTTTTGCTTGGATCCATTCTGCGATGGAGGATTCTATGTTTGTTTTTGTTATCCCAAGGATAGGTTCGGGGCCTATGTATGGTCTTGCAGATCCTCCTCTGGCCAGGTTGTCTGCTTCCTCGTTACCCAAAATTTCCCTGTGCCCTGGCACCCAAGATATCATCAGATTGTTGTGTTTTCCCAGTTTTGGAGATTTTGGATCCATTCACTGACTAGTTTTGATGTAATTCTTTTACATGCTAATGCTTTAATGGCTGCTTGGCTGTCTGATCTTATGAGGATTTTTTTGTCAGTGTAACCTCTTCTAAGATTTTCCAGGGCACAAGCATTGATGGCATGTATTTCCGCTTGAAAGACCGTAGTATACTTCCCTTATGAGTTTGATTGCTCATATTTTGGGCTTGTACGGAAAATGCCTGATCCGGATCCTTCGGTTGTTTTGGAGCGATTGTCTTTCCTATTTCAAACTAATCAGGATATACGATCACAGCATAGAGCTGTGTATTGACTGTTCCCATATATTAAGGCCAAACTATTCTGGAAATGCGTGCCCAATAGACCAAGTACATCACAATATCTGTTTTGATCTTAATTTCTGGAAATTAATGTTGTTTTGTATATTCAAAAACTTAATGTTATTTGGTGTTGTTAGTTTAAGGCGTTTTCTTTTCAGATAAAATTGCGAGAAAAACTAAAATATGAATTTTACGTTGAAATCTTTAATTTTTGACCAAAGTTGATTTGATTTTAGGACAATTTTACTAATGACGACATCGGCTTGTTGTAGGTGAACTTCGGCGAAGTGTTCATACCACCGAACTTAGTCGCTCCGAAGACGAGAGTGCTCCCGGAGTTCAAGAGGCTGGCTCATCGACTGCAATCGGGCAATATCACGATCCTCGACGCCAAGACTTTCTACATCCCGAATCTGCACTACGACGGTGCAGGTCCAGACGCCTATTTCTGGGTGGGAAACGGTCCTGAGCCTCACGACACCGGCACTAAAGTGCCCAGTGAAAAACGAACGTAAATCATTTCGAAAGAAAACTATACATCCATTCGTCTTCTTCTTATACATTTTGTTCTTCCAGAATCGAACCTCTGTCCGGCTATTACGGTAACGACATAGAAATAGTGCTTCCCGGAAATCTGACCGTCTACGACATAGACTGGCTCGCCGTCTGGTGTGTACAGTACAAACACAACTTCGGCCATGTATACATTCCAAAGGACCTGGACGTCCCACCGGCTCTGGGACAGACGAAAATAACTGTTAGTAACAAAGAAAAATGGCCAAAATCCTTTATTAGAATCGTTCACTTTTGAGATAGCCTTTGCTCATAACGATAAAACTATTTATTTCCAAATGTTTGCTATTAGTCTCTTATTTGTAATATTATTCAAGTATAATTATATTTACAGAAAATCGATAACGAATTTAATCTTTATGCGTTATTTTTTTGTATCGTCCATTTGGTATTTATATCGTCCTATCTAGCGTTCATTGCCTAGTTCAAATTGACTGACTAGCTGAGTTAGTTCTGGTTCACTCTAGATCTTTGATATATTAATTTCTCATGTTTTTCTGAGTCCCTCCAGTCAATTATGAGTTTTATGTTAAACAAGCCGTTTAGAAAGGCTTTTCTCTAATTTACATTTAGACAATAAAAATTAAAAATTACAAAAATTTGTGGGTGTTTCGGTCGATATTACGTGGACCAGAACACTCCATAGGTTTGTAGTTCTTTCCAATCTACCATGGTCGCCTTTTTTCGTTCATTGAATCACCATTTAAAATTTGGTCATCTTGCTTTGGGCCACAAACACATACAAAAGAAGAGATGTACAAACAATCTATCCAACTAATCATCACAATTGGAAAAAAACAATTCTATGTGAAGCATCTTCAAGACGAATTAGGCAAACAACTTGGACGTTAAGCCCTCCCGTGTGAGACCAAATACTTTAATTGACGATACAGTTTTAATATTTAGATCGAACGATTTATTCAATAATTTTGTACGATCTTTAGAAATATTAAACTTTTATTAACTTGAAGACGTGGTTAGGCATCCAAGACTACGATCCACGCCTAATGTCGTAAAATTTTCCTGAAATTTATTATTGTATCTTTAAATTTTAACGTTAAAACATTTTTAACTTTAAATATTAATCGTGGCTGTATTAATGGAAACACGAAAAATTTCAATAAATTTTCTAAGACCAGAAAAAACGAGGTTATCTCGTACTAAACAAGTTCCAACAAGTACATTATTCTTGTTTCCTTGTTTCCGGTATAACTTATTTCACTTCACTGAGGCTGACCTTTTGATTTTGACTTGGTAAATGAGAATAGGTGAGTAGGAATGACCTGATACAATCAATTGCAGGTTAAACATCTCGTAGACCTCAAAAAGAGTCGAAACTTCGTATTTGTCAGATATACATTTACGCATGTATTTAAGAAAACTTAAATGACGTTTCAGTAAAATAGAGACCTTTCTGATTAATTATAGATGAAACTGAAGTATCTGTACATTGGTAGTATTATTCGCTGGTTGCGTCCACCTTGAGTTTCAGTAAAATAGAGAGCTTTCTGATTAATTATAGATGAAACTGAAGTATCTGTACATTGGTAGTATTATTCGCTGGTTGCGTCCACCTTGAGTTTCTTTCCTTTTTGCCCATACGCAATAAAATTACAACCGGAGTTGTGTTAAGGTGCACTAAGGTGCATAAAATTATAAACAAACAATACGAGGTTTAATTAAAAATACTACAGTTTCAATTGTACGTGAGGTTTACTAATTATCACATTAGTCTGTTTAACCTGTGGCCGTTCTATCGTGCTAATTTTGATTTTGCTTTAAATCTTTAAAACTGCAGTTTCGATTTATTTTAGTTTGAAGGAACAAATGGTTTAAGTAAAGAAAAATTTCTTTATAACTCACTTTAATGTCAGATACTTTCGTCATGTTTGTCCAGCCTGAATTTCAACTCACTCTTTCTCTTTTATACTGCTGCCTTTCGGAACACAGCCAGCTTGGTGGTATTCCCCGGTAAGTGAAAATCATTCCTATCCGCTTTGCTTTTGCTTTGAAAAAGGATCATGGAGCCTCTTTGCCATTTTTCTGTACGAGATTTTGTCTTTTGCATTTGATTTCTTTTAAAAATTCGGGAAATATTTAGAAAATTCGATTATTCGAATAACTTGAAAGCACGTTTGAAATGGCATGGCTTCACGATAAGTAGGCCTAAGTTTGTTATCATAAAATAAAACAATTGTCAATTTTACCATATTCAAATTGACGTTATATTAAAAAATAAATTGAATACGAAAAATTAAACACCTGCATTTTGAAGACTGTATCACTCTGTGTATACATCATAAAAAACGTATTGTTTATTTAGCTTTTTTTTGGTAGACGACGAGCGTCAGCCCGGAGGACGAGGTGTTCTCCAACTGCCGTGAGTTGCTCGACGAGAGGATGCAAGTCGAATGGTCCATCGAAGGAGAATGGGTTCAGATCACACTTTCAGCCAAGATCAGGGAAGATCAGTACATGGCATTCGGCATTTCCGGCGAACAGGGGAGGTCTACCATGGTTGGAGGAGATGTAGTAGTTGCCTACTACAATAAGGAAAAAGATTCATTCCACGCTGTCGATTACTACATGTCAGCCACAGCTCAATGTGATGGTACGTTGTATAATTATTCCTCAAAACGTCCACCAAGTAAATTACAGCGAAAATTTATACCTTTCGAAAAGTAACTTGTCTTTATTTCATTTTTGGGTGAATATTTAACTACAGTTACAGTTTTTGTTTGGTTTTACCCAAAATAGTCTGTTTATCGACAGTAGTAGGTGTTCCCCCTGTTGCTTGTGACATCGCGCTCTACTGCTCCTTTCTGGTGGATTAGTGTGCTAGTTAATCCTAACTAACTGACTCTGACGTATTTTTTTGGTTTTGGCATTAGTAAGAGAAAACCACACCTTCTTGTCGTCAATTGCAGGTGTCACCCAAGGCTAATTCCTTGGTCCTACATTGTTTTCCATCTTTCTAAACCCTTCTGTCTACTTATACTTGAATGGCATTGTGCTCCACTGTTCCTCATGAAAAATTAGAAGAATCTCCTGATATCACGGTGTCTGTAGTTGTGGGTTTTCTGTATAAGTTTATTTCAATTAGGTTATTTTTTGTGGGCAGTTTTTAAGTCTAAAAAGTTTAAACAACTATCTTCATTTATTTCCAATGTGAAATTTATACTAGGGTGTGAAGAATTAATTAACTAATTGGAGGAATTCTTTTAGATCCTTTTTTTAGTCTTTTAATAAGCTTTTTTCAGTCAAATTAATAATTTTTTCAACCAATTTAATAATCGTCTCAACCAATTTAATAATCGTTTCATTCACTATAATGTGTGGCGATTAGTGACCGTTAATCGATAATTATTCAGTGATGTAGGTTTCAGAAAAACATTTTCTTTATCGTGCCATCGTTTCGATCTTTATTGAGAGCCATCTTCAGGGCCTGGGATTTACAAACATTGTTCCTAAATGTATTTGTTTGTCTTTTCAGAACATATTATACTTGAAAACCCTTTCTATTATACACAATATTAGGAGACAATTTCAATTGGACTACAAATTGGTGGAAAATTTTAATTATTATTAATATCCATTACAATTGTGTAGTTTTATAAAAATATTTTTATTGCTAAAGTTTTCAGGTTTAATAATTTGATAAATATATTTCGCTCGAGAAAAATAATTGAAAGTGAATACTAAGATGGTTGCCATTTAGAATGGTACAAAAAGGAATCAATAAAAAAATGGTTAGGAGGTTAGGGTCATCATTTTTATATACAATAGGAGACTACGGATGTCGATTTGAAATGAAACGTTTTTGTCGTTTTTGTCATACAAAGTACAAAAATAATACATCAATAAAGTTCTTCTAACTTCAAATGCAACAAAAAGTTCGTATAAACCATAGATTCTCAAACTTTTCGCAGATATAATAGATTTTTATTTTTGTATGTTTTTTTTCATTTATCTACGGTGATAAATTGGCTCTTGACCATTTTGGGTACATCCAAAAACCGCATTGAAATGAATATTTCCGTAATAAGGCACCCTTCTTGAACTTTCAATTTAATTTTTCGTAAAAAAACTAACATTGAATCTTTAAAAAACTAATAAATTTAAAATTTGAAAAAACATTTGCAACCACGTTGGAAAAATTTTAGATAGAGCAACTTTCTTAACAACGATTATTCAGAAATAATGAGTTGCGGTCTGGTGTGATGTAGGTTTCTGAAAAACAATTTCTTATCGTGCCAACGTTTCGATCTTTATTGAGATCATCTTCAGGCCGAACCATTACCCACGTTTTTTTCCCATCATCGGCTCTTTTCACCTCAAAGAAGCCGACTTCTTATACAAAAATGTCTTTCTATACCGACTCCCTTCAAAATCCAACGTATATAAACATAAAACAGCAAATCTCACTGGCACTATTAACATGATACGCAAGAATGGCACAATTACACAGAAAACAAACACTTTGAGTGAGTAGAAATACTTTGATTGAATATATAAAAAATATTTATTTGCATTGCATAAATTCACGTTTTTCCACATCCTACACGTATTTGTTAAATGTAAACAATGTTTGTAAATTCCAGGCCCTGAAGATGATCTCAATAAAGATCGAAACGTTGGCACGATAAAGAAAATGTTTTTCTGAAACCTACATCACACCAGACGTATCTCACGATTTCTGAATAATTAATAATTCACTAATAATCGTTTCAACCAATTTAATAATCTATAAATAAATAATAAAACGGTTTAGGCGTTGACAGCCATCACTGTAGGCTAAAGGTCCCGGGTTCGAAGCCAGCGGCCTTGCATTCGAACCTCACGTACTTACAAATGGGCTTTTTTTCAAAAACACCGGCATCCTGAGGGTTGATATGACGGGTTTTGCGAACCCTCGTAAAAAAATGTAATAATCGTCTCATTCAATTTAATAATCGTCCCTTTCGGTGTTTTATGATGAGGGTAGAAAAGAAATAAGAGCTAGGAGTTATTTATTAGCTGTTTTTATTAAGCTTTAGACAAATTAAAAAAATAAGATTATTTCATCAAAAAGATAACGGTAACAGCTCACTCTTTTGCGATTTTTTGCGTGAGCTGTATACAAAACCTGATGGGCTTTCATTATATAACGCATTTCTAGTCGTGGACATTGCCAGGATCCACAAAACTGCTGAAGAAAAAGAGGTTGTGGAATCAGTTTCTCATACGATTATTTTCCTGTCGCCTTACTCGCCAACTCTAAACCCAGCAGAGTATGCTTTCTCCAAGATTAATACAGCTGCGAGGACCCTGTTAGGTGAAGCCAAAGGAACACATCACTTAACTGAAATAAGCTGCAGTGTCAATTCCATTTCGTAACGGATGTAGTTTTAAAGCTACCAACGGCTGCCACAATTAGTTGAGTTAAAATTATCATTTGTCAAATATTTTTATTTTTTGAGGAAATAATTTTGCTTTTTTAATATTTAAATAAAGCTTTTCGCAACTACTAGCTTGTATTTATTTTCTCCCTGACTATAAAATCCCAAAAGGGACGAATATTAAATTAGTTGAGGCGATTATTAAATTGATTGAAATTTGTTGAGACGATTATTAAATTGTTTGAGACTATTATTAAATTGGTTAAGACGATTATTAAATTGGTTAAGGCGATTATTATATCGAATGAAACGATTATTAAATTAGTTGAGACGATTATTAAATCGTTTGAGACGATTATTATATTGAATGAAACGATTATTAAATTGGTTGAGAAAATTATTGATTTGACTGAAAAATGCTGTATATCGGAAGATAGTAACATGGAGAAAAAAGGACATTATTGGTTTTATAGTTTTGTTTTCTTTTTGGAATTTGACCTACCGTATAACATTTTGTTTTCGGGTTCATTGGTATTAGTTGTTTAACCTCATTTGAGAACAGAAAGTCAGTATTTTTTATAGCCGTTTAATCTCTAGTTTTTAATTGCAAGGTTTTTTACTTTACGATCGTTATTGTTTAGAAATTCATAGCAATTTTTTATTTCTCTCTCACTCTCCCTCTCCCTCTCTCCCTCTCTTCCTCTCCCTCTCCCTCTCTCTTTCCCTCTCCCTCTCTCTCTTCCTCTCCCTCCCTCTCTCTCTCTCTCTCCCTCTCTCTTTCCCTCTCCCCTCACCCTCTCTCTCTCCCTCTCTCTCTCCCTCTCTCACCCTCTACCTCTCTCACCCTCTCCCTCTCTCACCCTCTCTCTCTTCCTCTCTCACTTCCTCTCTCTCTCTCTCTTCCTCTCTCTCCCACTCCCTCTCTCTATATATATCTATTTATCTCATTTTCACTACCTTCTCTATCTGTATGTTTTTTGAGGTTTAAACTATAATTAAAATAATCTTAATCTTTCAGGTCATAATGGTGTGTGCCCAGATTATAGAATAGGAGGCAGGGATGATGTGGAGTTGATAAAAGGAGAGCGAAGGCATGGCATCACAACTGTTATTTACAGAAGAGCACTACACACCAACGAACCGATAAATGATAGACCGATTCCAAGAACTGGGGAAACTTCAGTCATAGCAGCCATCGGACCTCTCAATTCCAACCATGAAGCATACGCTCATGCAGTTAATGATAAGACTAACGGTAGGATGTCATAATAACAAAAGTTAGAAGTACATTCAAATTAATGATTAACTTTTTTCTTTTTCAAATTAAAATTGTAACTTACAAAAATAAATATTTATATAATATTTCTAGATGATATCAGGATAGATTTTGGGTCAAAGCAAGATGGTCAGTGTACAAATTCTTTGTATCACCTTCCTGAAGATGAGGAAATTCAACCATGGCCTCCTGCTGTTATTAGAGATGAGACTGTATTCTCTGTGAGAATCGGTCCTACAGGAGGAAAAAGAGGATACACACCAATCACAGGTGGATTTTAAAAATTATAAGTATCTTATAAAATTATAAACATTTTTATTTGTATGTAGGTCAACCTTCTTGGGGTATAGCATGGTACATCAACGATCTTCTTATACCCGAAATTTATGTCATCCGGGGTAAGACCTACACTTTTGTTGTTGAGGGTGGTAATGACCCAACACAGCCTGCAAGGTACCATCCGTTTTATATCACCGACAGCCCAGAAGGAGGCTTCGGTCAAAAGTCAGATATTAAACAAAGACAGCAGAGGGTATTTGCAGGTGTTAGCTATGACTCTGAAGGCTTCCCATATCCCACAGCTTGTGAGTAGAAAGACTTAGTTATTCATTTTTGTTTTTATATCTAATTTTTTTTAATAATAATAGCCGGGAGGTACTGCGAATGGCAGCATAAAACCGTGGATAAGTCGGAAACAACAGAAACGTTTAAAGAATACTTAGAAACGCTGAGGCTTGAATGTGTTCCTGGAGAGCCAGCCTACCTGAACTGGACAGTACCAATGGAAACACCAGACATACTCTATTACCAGGTAATTAAATAATTAAATTTTATAATAAACTTCTTGTTTTTATATAATGTCAGTTTTTCTACAACTATTTTATATTATGAAACTGACAAAAAAAAAAAAAATTGAAATGTTGCATTAATCGAGCGATTTTTTTCAGTGTTATACTCATAACAACTTAGGCTGGAAGATTCATGTGACGAATCGCACTTCAGCATCTAAAGCCCCCAGCTTAGTCACTGACCTTTCGATTGCTATGTTCCTTTTAGTCACAAATTACATGATGACTAGGTGAACAAAACATTGAACTATTCTGATTTGTAAGTGGTGGCGATGGGCAAATTTTTGTCATTGAGATTCTGAGTGTTTTACATAAATACCTTTTTTCCTTCTCTTTTTCCTTATCATTCTTGAAATAGATGAAAATTTGAACTAAAAAGTGATGTTCAACACTCATAATGCATGATGTTCGCCCAGGCCTCATTTACTGGTTTGTTCTCCCTGCAAAGCATGTCAGGTTTCTGTGTCTTCATAAGAAACTATAAAAAAAATCAAAATTTATCTTTAAAATTGTTCTGTGATTTTGACAATACTCAATTAAAAACGATTGAAACTAAGACAATAATTTATAAATGTAAATATTTTTAGGTGACATTTTACAAATAAATGAAGTATACATATAATAACATGTATGTTAATAACTTTTTAAAATAAGCACATCAATTTACTAAAGTTAGTAAAATTACAACTGCCTAGTATTAATACTTATGTTTAACATTTTTTATTTATATATATATATGTATATTTTCATTTAAGTTTGTAAAGTCATGGCTGTGTCAAAATTTTAGAAATCAAATCTGATTTGGAATTTTTATATAATTAAGATAAAAACAAGTTTAAATAAATAAAAATTTTCAATATTTAGGTTTAAGATTGTTCCATAAATAATTATTAAGTCCTGCCAAAAGAATAAAGAAATTCATATTTTTCTTAAAAGCTGAATATATTTTAATAAAGAACAATAATTGATTAATTTTTGAAATGAATTTAAAGTGAATGGAATTAGACAGCAAGGCGAGAAAATGTCTGAAATTTTATAATTAATACATTGTCACGATGTAAACAATATTTATACCTAGTAAATAATTGGAAGATTATAAGACATACTTTGAAAAAAATAAATAAAAGGATTCTACATAAAAGTCACACATAAACTTGGATTGAAACTTTGACAAAATGGACTTTTTAAATAAATAGAATGATCAATTATTACAGAAAATAACATATCTAACTGTTTTCATCTTCTTGTTTTTGTTTTGTCTTTATTTTTATTATTTTGAAACTGTTTCACTGAAAGAATGGATATCAAAGGTTGCCAGTTGACAATAAACGACTTTTAAACTTTTATGCCTGTTATTAATTAATAATGAATTAGAAATCAAACAAACTTATAAATATCATTCCCCGTGCTTTTACTGTAAAAAGCTTATCCTATAAAAGTCTGTGTTGTACATAAACAGCGTTATTCTACAAACGTTTTAGTGATGAAGTGTTAGAGCATAAATCTGATTTTATAAGCTGATATTTTTCATTTTATGATATAGAAAACTGACAAATGCTTGGCAAGGGAACAATCTTTATTTGATACGAACCTCAAATATAAGAATATCAATGTAAAAACATATCAGTGACAAGGTGTGGTGGGTCTTTGTAATATATAAAAAATAAAATGAAGTACTTAGTATTTAAGGTTACTGTAGGGAATTCAATGAACATTCGGTGGCCACTTTTGTTGTGCAAATACTGATGGTCGACAATAAACTTCTTTAAAAGAGGTGTCATTAAATTAGGCTGTAAGGACAATGATAATAAACAATTTTTCTGTAAACATTGACAATAATAAAAATGCTCATGTTGCATTCACAAAATAAATTATATTGTATATAGTCTTACAGTAAATAAATGTAAGTTTCTTAAAAAGAATTTAAGTTTCATTTTAAAAATGTTTAAAGGTGTTATGTCAGCATTTTTAAATTTTAACATATGAAAATACTGTTGATTTTGGAATCTTGACAATAATTAGTACTTAGATGATGTAATTTTAAGGTGATTTTTTGAAAAAAGAGCCAATAAGGATAATAATTATATTTTAAGATGAAAACTATCATAGAACCTGCCCTCCCAAATGTATTTTACTAAAAGGAGGTTTAAAATTTGCCAAGGATTCAACTCTTTTCAGTAAAGTCAATTTTAGAAACTATGAAATAAAGCATACACCAGCTAAAGTTTGTCCTTTGACATTGTTTCGTATAATTGTCATTTGTGTTGTTTATTGTATAAAAAGTGTGAAGGATAGAATATGACAAAAATTATTCTTAATGTGGGGAATTTAACCTTCCCATGGGCACAGCGTTGAATTTCAGAACACCAGGCGCATGCATTTCTCTGATACTGTATTGTGCTGCAAATTTTTTGAAAAAATACTTTCACTTCAGCAATCCTTGATAGACTCATTTTAAAATGTTTAATGCCACATAGAATCGTTCCTTCTCACCAATTTATCTTCTGTCTCTGTCATTGCATGAACCAATGATTCAGTGTTGACACAATTTCCTCAGCTATAGAAAACAATGTATTGATCGGGGATGGCTATAACATTTGGTAAGGACTGACACACTACTTTATAAACTTAAACACTTCCTACACACTCCATATCAATTTTTCATGGAATCCTATTTCACTGACCACTGCTTCAGAGTGAGGAGCAAGAATACTCAGATATCGGACCACTACAAGCCAACAAACTACAATCTTGGTCCCATCAGTATAACATTTACCTGCTGATATTCCTATACATCCCAACAACTCATTACCAAATGTGGTTGACACCACAATTCAGTTTCCTAACCTGCCCTATCTAACCTTCCACCGTCAAAGAACAGCTTATCAAAGACTGGTGCAGAAATTACAGATCAAAACTGAATGAGGAAAAATATACACAGTGTATATTTACATCTTTTAAAAATCCTCAAGCAAGACTTAAGAGACAATAACTGAACAGAAGATTTGAAAAACTACGAAGACTGATTGGGGCAATATTTTTTTTGACCTGCACTCAACTAATTTCATACAAGACTTTGCTGTAACCACTCTGGAAATTCGAGTCCAGAGCATCCAGTCTTTTCAATCAAAACTCCTTAAACAAATTGTCAAAACCCTTTTCTACTTAACTAACCTCACTATACAAAATGACCTCTACATTTTTTCTGTTAACGATTGATCTGATTCTGCTTGAAAGTTCCACCAAGCTTTCAATCCACCCTAGTCCTACTGCCCAAAATTTGCCTTCACTTTCCCACCCCAAGAACTCTAGGGATGTCACATTAAATGATGATCTCAAGACCCCCTTCATCTCAAACACAATAATCTGCATTGGCTAGCTGAACAATTCTCCAACATTCACACTTCGTTTCTATCCTCATTATCCACAATGACCTTAACAAATAAAAAATAAATTATTCATTTAAAAATACTTTCAATTTCAAATGTTAATTTGTTTTTTCTTAAATCTTTGCCATATTCGTCTATTTAACTTTTCTTTTTTTGTTTATTAACAAATCCTTTCTCTAAACACTTTTTTCAACTAATGAAGGTTTTTAGTTGAGATGAAAAAAAGTTAATGGCACAAGAGGGATTCGAACCCACGACCTTCGGCTTGATACGTCGCTGCTCTACCACCTGAGCTATCGTGACCTCGATCCACTCGGACATCAACTCCCCATCTCAACCCCACCTTATGAGTTTTCCGTCCTTTTGCCATTTTTCAACCAAATTTGTCTACTGTTTAGATTGTCCAAAACATGTATCTGTTTATTTATCTTTTATTACTGTGGGTAATAGAATATCCCTTGAGGTTAAAAAAATAATAATAATAATAAATTTGAAGTTGTAGGATTGTCACAAGCAAAATTTAATTTATGAGCTTCACAAGGTACAAACATTGCTAAATTATTAATTTCCAAAATACATCCAATTATTCCATTATATTTGGCATCCATATTAGTACCTTTATCCAATCCTCGTCCCCCACAATCCTGAATAGACAAATTTTTATTTAAAATTTAAATTATAATTTTTATGAACAGCATGCACCTATTGCACCTGTCTAGAGCTACAACTGCTAGCACCTATCGGAAGGTTAATCTACCCTAAATCTTCCCAGACAGAATATCTCATAAATTGGCATCATAACCAAATGAATAGTTCAAAACTGATTCATAGCATACTATGAATATGATTAATTATTTTTCTGAAAGAATTTATTTCTTACATCTTTTTACTTAGTACTTAATCTGAAAATAGTAGAACCTTCCACAAGTGGGAATAAAGGGACGAAACAAAAAGCTAGTGATTATGCGGATATGCAAAAAAGCATTTTGACTATAAGAATGCTTGTATTTAAACACTTTTTATGGGATGTTTAAATTAAGGCACATGTTTTGTGGTTAAGCTATTGATATAACTCAGGTGATGTGTAATTGTTGACAATAATAATAAATAAGTCTTATATAAAATGTGTAAATTTAAGTAAAATATACTTTAAAAGATTCTATAATGGTTGGATATTATTGGAGATTTCCAAAAAGTGTATAGTTTAAATGTAAATACATCTTACATAAAGAAATTATCTGTATTTTGTTTTATTTCTAAGATCATCTTCAGAGTAGTATAAATGGATTCTTGATAATGTAACCAAACCTTTAGAGTAGTAACTAGGATGTAAATTGTATTTTAAAAAAATTATCCAACCACTATAAAACTGACTGATAAATGTTACTTTATGAAAGTAAAAATTCATTTTAATTGTTAAAGCTAAAAATTAAATGTTAATATGAAAATTGATAAATGTAATTTGCACTTTAAACTTTAATCAATCTCACAATCTTTTACCCAGCAAGTCCATTGTTTAGATGTTCGATAAGTGCCTTTTTTTTATTAAGATGATGGGTGGAGTATATGAAGAAAAAAATAATAATGTGAATAATTATAGAATCCGATATACTTTTTCACAACCCGATCGCGAAAATCATAGGCCTGCAAATGCTTGTGAGTTAATCCAACGGCGGTTTCTTTTTCATCTCAGCGGCCCTAAATAAAGTGTCATCTTACAAAACAGCATTTAAACATATGTTTTTTGGTAATGTAATGAGCGTTAGAATAATGGCCTACTCAGTGTTTAGATGGACATGTAAACTAAACATTAAATAATACCAGAATAATTTTAGAATCTTTTAATTGTTTATATAAACTAATCTTGTTTTGTTATATACATATATATTCAATTTATTTTGATTTTTTTATTGTTTTATTGTGTATCAATATTTTTTATAGCATTATGTTTTAAAATGTTGTATAATATTAACATTATGAAATTATAAAAAAATTAAAACTGTCTTTCTCTTTGATTGTTGGATCTAACTGATTGATAACTTATAAAAAAATTAAAATTTAACCCTTTTTGTATTTGCTTAATAAAATACAGTAAGAGCACCATTCATTTTCAGTCTTTCATGCTAAACATTACCACAGCTTCCAAATTTTTGTGTGGGTTTGATAAATATTTATGCAGCTTGATTGCACTATAGATTAGCTTCTGCCATGGTTAATAT